AGTTCGTTTTCCTAACATCTTTTGTTAACAAACAAACAAAATTGAATAGATTCCCCCCCCATATTTGAACTATTTTATGTTCCCATCTCTTTTCCTTTTCCTGCTCTTTTGGAAGCGGCGGCCATTTTGTGGCAGGCCATACTCCTGACAGCAGCCATTTTCAAATTTCCAAATGTGCCCCAGACCCCAAAATGTTGGCAATCGCTAGTTTATTTTATTGATGTGCACATATTTAAAACATTTATTTAATCTCTGTCCCTCATTCAGTGTGACACATATGATCTAATAAAATATGAAGAAGTGGGAGGAAAGATACTCCATTCGCAAGAAAATCTGCCCTGAGGGAACTGCCCTCAATACCCCATTTCAGCCACAAGCAAAAAGGATGGTCTTGGAGAACTTTCAGCTTCCATTCCCTATCTGTAAAGGGGGCAATGATTTGTCTCACGGGGCAGCTGTGATGATGCATAGGAATAGGGCTGCCAAGCACTCTGAACAATAAAATGACTGCATGAGTGACTAACAGAGATTTTCATTAGAACATCCAGGTCTCTAATGCCAAGCATATACTATTCCCCTGTTTCTAGACTATTGCTATTTTAACTGCTTTTATAGGGCTGTATGCATTTTGAAAATGTGCCATGAATTAGATTTATGAACCATTCCACACTACACATTTTCTGGGAGAATGGCACTGAAAACAAACATTATGAGGTTTCGTACAAAAAAATGACTTTGAAGGATAAAAAGAGCTGAGACAACATTATCAACTGATTTTCAGAACACCTGGAAAATTGCTACAAGTGCTGTGTGCTGAAGAAAGGAATAGCTGTGAATAAATTCATTCAGGCTGCAATCTTATCCCCACTTAATGAAGAATAAACTTCTCTGAACTCAATGGGACTTGCTTCTATGCAAACATGTAGGATTCCTGAGTAAAACTGCATACAGTCCTGGAAGCATACAGCCTATAGATGTCTGTCTGTTTGCTTCATAAAATTTATATGGCACATGTATCAAGGTATCACCAAACTTGGCACAAGGGTACCTGAGGAGGGTGTGATCTTTGTTGACATTTGGATGTTGGCTGCCATTTAGAATTACCCCCTGCTAACAGAACATTGACTTCCAACGACTTAACTATGTTGGATTGTGGTCACCCTGTTCAAAGGCCATACACTAAAATCATTTTTATTTTGATTACTACATTCACATCGCACCTTTCCTCCAAGCTCATGGTGGCATATGATTAGTATTCTTATTTAATCCTCACAGCAACTGTAGGAAGTAGGGTAGACTAAAAGGCAGTGGCTGGCCCAATATCACCTAGTGAGCTTCATGGCCAAGTGTGAATCTGAATCCTAGTCTCCAAGTCCCTAACCTCACTCTCTAACCACCAAAGCAAACTTGACCTTCAATCATGGGTCATCAACAAGCTCCACAGGCCCCCAAATGGTCATCAGAGTCTGGTACACTTGCCTCTCCTACACTGTGAAGTGTCCTGCTGAGAGATGATAGGCAAATTCATTTCAACGCACATGAGACATTGCATGGTTTACTCTAGACTTGAGTGGTACCATTTGGGGCACACTTTCTAAGACATTTGATGAAGACTTTTTAAGCCCAGCTTTTGGTGGCTGGTATTTTATTGCCATGAAGAGTGTAAGCAACATACAGTGGTACCTTGGGTTAAGTACTTAATTCGTTCTGGAGGTCCATTCTTAACTTGAAACTGTTCTTAACCTGAAGCACCACTTTAGCTAATGGGGCCTCCTGCTGCTGCCGCGCTGCAGGAGCACAATTTCTGTTCTCATCCTGAAGCAAAGTTCTTAACCTGGGGTACTGTTTCTGGGTTAGCGGAGTCTGTAACCTGAAGCGTATGTAACCTGAAGTGTATGTAACCCGAGGTACCGCTGTATACCAATTTTAAGAGCCACAACTATATTGAGAAATGTGTACAACAGGGTTGTGGAACCTCAGGATAGGGGTCCAAATGTGGCCCTCTAGGCCCCTTTATCTTGCCCTGGGGACTTCTCCCAGGCCACATGCCATCCAAAGCCACACTCCTCACAAGCTCTGCTTTGTACCCTCCTTGCATGCCTTTGCTAGAATGTGTCCTTGAACTCTGACAATTCATTGTTTGCCTCAATGCAGGATAAGGAGAGGTGTGCGAGTGTTTGCAGAAACTTGGCTACTGTACAAAAAGGTAAAAGGACCCTTGACCGTTAGGTCCAGTCACGGACGACTCTGGGGTTGCAGCGCTCATCTTGCTTTACTGGCCAAGGGAGCTGGCACAGCTTTTGGGTCATGTGGCCAGTATGACTAAGCTGCTTCTGGCGAACCAGAGCAGCGCACGGAAACAATATTTACCTTCGCGCCGGAGTGGTACCTATTTAACTACTTGCACTTTGATGTGCTTTCGAACTGCTAGGTTGGCAGGAGCAGGGACCGAGCCACAGGAGGTCACCCTGTTGCGGGGATTCGAACCGCCAACCTTCTGAATGGCAAGCCCTAGGCTCTGTGGTTTAGACCATAGTGCCACCCGCGTCCCACCTACTGTACAAAGGCAGCATGTAAATTCATTGTTCCACCCACTTTTGCTCCTAGTCCCAGCCACCACTGGCATGTGGACCTTGGAATATTATCCAAAAGGGAACGAATGAGGCTCTGGAGGTCCAAAGGTCCCTCATCCCTGAACTAGAACATAGCTAAACCAAGTGAAGCCAGTGCGCAAACATTGGAACTCACCAGATGGAACAATCGTCCCTCTCCTCCCACCTTAATGTTTTCCTGACAAGCCCAGGAGGCGGGCACACAGGTAGAGGAGAGTGGGGGAAATCCCCATTTAGCATGCACAAGTCCTTGCAACAAGGCTTTTGCTGACATTAGGTGAATCCTGCCCAAGGTGTTCAGAGAAATGCTTGGAGAAGCAGAAGAAATGCTGAGCATTATCAAAATGTATATTGAGGTTATAAAGGCTTTGTGCCTCTCGGCCTGGAATTCTGCACACAGCTCAGCTTCTTATATCACGCTGAGGTCAATGTGCAGGACTGTGTGCAGGATTGCAGTCTTGGAGAAGAGTGGTAATGAGAAACAGTAAGATAGACCTTAGAGGATAGTGCAAGCCTTGTTCTTTGCAATACAATACTCTGGTTTTGAAGCAAAAAGAAAAAAAAGAAAGAATAGAAAGTCACTGAAGCACTGTTGACTATGGGATGGGCGATAATTCCCCAATGTGTGTTACTTTGCATTAGTCAGCTTTGAAATCAATTTGCCCATTCCACTATCATTGTCTACTTCTGAAAACCAGTCAGTCCTCTGTAGGCCAAAACAACCTATAAGAGCTGTGTCAGATATGCAAATCCTGCTTCACTGCTTGCTGCCTTGTCTAGATCATGAATATACACATTAACTGATTCGTGGGAGATAACTTCATAGTATCCCCCCCTTATTTACTGGTTGTGAAACTTTTAAAAAATAATAATATCACATTATACTTTACATGGTTTTTTAAGAAAATATAAATCTGGAACGTTGAAGACATTTATAGCATACCTTCCAACATTTTTTCAGATGGAAATGGGGACAGTTATGGTATAGCTTGAGTCCACTGAGCAATTTGCACTTTTTTTGCAGACACCTGCTTCCTGCTTGAGTAGTGGATGCAGCAGGAGGGGAGGAAGGTTGCTGGCTTTCCAGGGCAGGAGTTTGCCTCTAGAATGACCCTGCACTGCAGCACGCCTTATTGAAACAACCGCTGCAAGGCTTGAGAAATGCACAGAACTTGTGCAGCTTGGGAACAGCCCAGCCCACTGGCAGGGAGAATCAGGGTGCCCCAGGATGAAGGCAGGCACAGTGGGAGCTTAATGATTTCTATCCAGCCATCCTGGCCAAATAAGGACAGTTGAGGGGTATGTTATAGGCAAGGTATAAAAATCTTTGGTATCCTTATTTCATGGTATGATGTGATTTAAGGTAGGCTTGAATCAGACATTTGGCTGCAGACCCAGATCGGATACCTTGAGTTGCCAACCAATAGAATCATAGAATTGGAAGGGATTGCGAGGGTCATGTAGTTCAACCCCCTGCAATGCAGGAAACTCAAAAAGCGGTTCCCCATCCAATTTGAAACCATACTGGACCCTGCTTAGCTTTGCAAATGTGCTTGCAATTTGCTTGGTGTGCTGAATCTGTTACCACTTACCACTGCAAACCTGGGGGTTCCAGATGACCTATTTACTGAGCATTCATCCTGATCTGCTTGCACAGAGATTAAATGGCAGAATTAGGATTGGGGCCTTAGTTTCCAGTTTGTGCCATATATTGGGAGTTAATAAAAAACACTGCATGACCAAACAAAACATGGTATTAACTTTTATCAATGTATAAAAAAGGAAGGAAAGGAGGAGAGAGAAGGCCGTAGGTATTGTGATTAACAAGTTAAAGCAATCTGAAGTACCAAATATCTGGCATTAAAAAAATAAAATAAAGCAAGGAGCTACAGAAATGAAAACACTATTCATCATACTAAACCTTCTAAGCCCCGCAAGGCTAAGGGGCATGGATGGTTGTTTTTTTCAGCACAGCCTATGCACAACAACAGAATTCTTCTACAATTGTGTCCTGCAAATCAGTGTATTATCATATTTAAAGGTTTTAGAATTGGAACACCCTGCAGGATCTATTATGAATGCAGTTGATATTTTCATATAAAATAACCTCTCCTCATTAGTATGCAACACCTCATTTTCAGATAGGTATTCAAGCGACATGGTCTGCAACCAAATTCATAAAAATAGAGGATGCTGTCCTAATAATAAATGTGCTGTGCATTGCAGGAACATTTGTATAGCTTCTGTGCGTGGGTGGTGGGGGCGGGGGCGGCAGGGGCATGTACAAAGCAAATTTGAATCTAAAATAATGCATCTGAAGAAATTAGTTCTATTTCTGTCCCAAACATTTGTCTTAACTCTTCACCCACGTAACACCTGAGCACCTACCTGGCAAGCAGTTACAGTAAAATTCGCCAATCAAATTATGGCAACTGGCTCCATTTTTGCAGGGCTTGAAGGGACATTCATCAATGTCCATTGAGCAGTTTTTGTCTGACAGAAAAGAAAATGAAACGTTAAAACTATAAATCATGTAGGGTTTGGGATAGCAAAAAGGCTACTTCATAATCCAAGTGACAACTACATAATTTAACTTTTCCTGGTTGGGAACATTGTATTTTATGTCTGCCTGACAGCTTTAAAGGAAAGAGGTTTTTGGTTTTTTTATAGATCACAGATAGCAGTTAAATAAATTAGATCTTTATAGGCAGGATTATACGAAGCAAATAAAGTATTTACTAATATATTTTGTGTGGTTATTATAACATCCCATTAGCTGCAATATAATTATAGTTAGTATAGTGTCTCTACGGACTTAAACACATTGGCAAGCAATGAAGGACCCCAGTGAAGACCAAGTAACAGCCTGATCTTATGGGCATATCAAAATGGCGGACACTGGGCCACTAGCTGCACCATCTCCAAGTAGTAAGTGGTATCCTAGCCTTGCTCAGCAGCAGCTCAATAGCAAACCTGAAGTACTAAAGTAATATTACATACAAAACACAGGTACAACCAATCTTACAGTCTCCATAGCCAGTTTATAGCTTGCCATTAATCCCAGCATTTTCCATTAACAACTCCACCCTACCCTCCAGAATGCACGAGTGAAGCCACATTAAAGCCGTAAGATTTCAAATTATATTGCAGAGATTGGTAACAGTAACCACCCTGGCCTGGTTTGCATATCTCAGTGAGCCAAACTATGGCCAAGCGAGGACCACACAAATGTTCTGACTCCTGGGAAGGAGCTCATACCTGCTTTGCTTCTCCCAAGTTCTTTTGCCACAAGACAGCATGGCAAGGTAAGGTGTGGCTTACCATGTCATCCAGACCTGGAATTGTGGTTAAGGTCTTTCCATAGGACAAAGTTTACAGAAACTGTGAGTTTGGGAGGTGGAGAGGGGGAATGTTTTCTTTTGATGGTCAGGTCTAGGTTATCACAGTGAATTCTTTCCCCAGGACATTCCGATCACGGTGATTTGTGAGAGGGATGTTGACGGAAAGCAGGGCATTTAGAAGAATGCTGGATTACTGGCATCCTTACCAATTACAAACAGTTAAAAGCAAAAACTTAAATCAATTTGTTTTCAGTCTGCCGGGTTTTCTTTCTCCTCCCGCCCAAGCTCACATTGGTTTGCAAACTTTGAAGAGAGCTTAGTATGGGGTCAACCCACCCACCCCGCTACGCTCAGTTCAGCTGTGGATTGTCTTGCGTACGATGTACTTGTCCCTTTTTATTCCAATCACTTTCTGTTTTCCAATAAACAAATTCCTATTTTAGTTATTTAGTCATCCTGTTTGTTTTCTCTTATTTTTCTTTAGCTCTGTGCAAACTTCTCTTGAGTTCACCCTCCTGCTGCTTCTGCTGTATGTGTGTTTCAGTTATTATTCAATTCGATTTGTTTGCTTTTTTCTCTCCTCTAGGTTTTAGTCTGCTTGTTCAAAGCATTATCATATTCTTTTATGGTAGGGTAGCTGTCATTCATTACCCCCTCTATGAATGGTACTTTCTTCCCCACTCAACTAAGCCTGCTTGCCCCTTAAGTTGTGCTACTCATTAAAGGTAAAGGTACCCCTGCCCGTACGGGCCAGTCTTGCCAGACTCTAGGGTTGTGCGCTCATCTCACTCTATAGGCCGGGAGCCAGCGCTGTCCGCAGACACTTCCGGGTCACGTGGCCAGCGTGGTGAAGCTGCTCTGGCGAGCCAGAGCCGCACACGGAAATGCCGTTTACCTTCCCGCTGGTAAGCGGTCCCTATTTATCTACTTGCACCCGGGGGTGCTTTCGAACTGCTAGGTTGGCAGGCGCTGGGACCGAGCAACGGGAGTGCACCCCACCGCGAGGATTCGAACCGCCGACCATGCGATCGGCAAGTCCTAGGCGCTGAGGTTTTACCCTCATTGCCAACCTACTATTACCCACTTACTGAGTGGCACCTCCCTCATGTCACTAGTTTTCAGACTGACTGCCAGCAAATTATTAAGGGAGGTTAAGTGGTTCTTTATCTTACCCACCCCAAAATATTGCCCTTGTGGGCAGGGCCGGATTTAATGGGGCCATTTATATGTCCAGCTGTCCTTTGTCAACAACAAATTGTTGCTGTTTTTTGTGTTGAATATATGCTATATGGTAATTTATGGACCTAATAGGTATCTAAAGCCATTTGCACATAACAAAGTATGTATTTTATCAAAGTAATTGTTGAACTGAAATACAACTGGAAATGTACATCCAGGATTTTTTTCCTTTATTTTTTTTGGGGGGGGGCACCAAGTAAGTGGGGCCCTAAGCTATAGCTTGTTTAGCTTATACGTAAATCCGGCACTACTTGTGGGAGAGTCACTGTACCTATCATTCTGAAAGCTGGCAGCCTTCATCCCTTCAGAATGGACCGCCATGCCTGTAAATTGCATCTAGTTCTAGCATAAAATACTTTTTTTTCCCATTGCTTTTAAAACAAGAAACTTAATGGTATAAAACTCTTAAACAAACCTGCTTGAAATGTGGCAGGCTTAGTTTCTTGGGTCCTAGAATCTCCTCAGCTATGGATCTAGCAACTATTTGCAAGTCACTAGCAGTCAATCTTAATTTTAATCTGTAAAATGGGAGTAACAGACCAACTATACAGGTCTTTCAAAAAAAGACATATAACAGTGGCTAAATCACACAATTATGGTGTTTTAAATGCTTTAGTCTTATATGTATATGTAAAAGACCTGAATGCCTAATCACTATTATTCCCATTTTACAGAGTGAGTAAATAGAGGGAATTGAAACTGAATGTGATTAACTTGTGAATATAGACTTCATAGATCCCTCCAGAGTAGGAATGAATCCAAATGAGTCTCTTTTAATGACTTTTAAGCCTGTGTTTTAATCATAAAACCAGAATACTTGGCTGGGTTTTTGTTGTTGTTCAGTTGAGGACAAAATTTGTGATTGTAGCAGTGGTTGTTATTATTACCTTTCTCTATCTCAATTATGATCAGAAAAGACATTAAAGAAATCCTTAATGCATTAAATTATAACTATGTCTCAAGTGGAAACATTGTTTTCATTTTCTTGTTTCCAAAATAAAGGACATGAACTGAAATGTGAAAATAAGAAAGCTTGGTAGCATTCCCTAAACACCAACCACAAAAAGGAAGAACAAGTATCATTTCATCTCATTTTATTCTTAGTTGATGAATGAACACATTTTCTCCAGATGATTTCAACTCTTAAGCTTTGGTTCTAATTAAAGAAATCATGCTAATTATTTGCAGATGAGAAACTTTCAGCAAATTATGCCTCTGATTTCATGTAAACAAGGCACTTTGGTTAATTTCTAACAGGGAGAGAAAATTGTGCTGTTGAACCATAATTGATTTTCCCTTTAATTTTATGCAACTCACTGGTAGCTCAACTCTTTATCCTTTATAGAGAAATTAACTGTTTAGTTTAGTATATGACGCCTCTCGAAGATCCTTGAAACACAGGGCCTTAAGTTGGAAGCCCTCATTTGTGCATTTTAATAGATTCTGCCTTCAGATTTCCAGGATATTGTGTAGATGCTGTTTGGACTTCTACATTACCAACCAGCAATTCCTAATCGGCTGATGTATACAGTATGTATGTATCCTTGAAGAAATCCGAAAACTCTTCTTAGAAACAGTTATCAACACATTTTTTGTACCCCAGTCCTGAGTGGGGCATGGAAGCTAATAATTATATTCAAAGTTCTTTGGAGCAGGAGATAAAAATGAGGTGCCAGTAGTCATATCTTGATAAAAGTGATACGGGTGCCAGCGCAAAACGGTTGACATGGACAGTACAAATAAGAGGTGGTGGTACTCTGTACCAGAGAGTACCATCACAAAAAAACACTGCTTTTTAATGTGTGGAGTGTCCATTACTTGTCTGAGTGTAGTATGTACTTGAACTAGTTACTATTTTTTCCCCTACCAGGTGGGTTAGTGATGAAAAAATCATGAGTATGCTTTAACATCCCTGTTAATTAACTCGGAAACTTTAACATCAGCATTTCCAACTTTCATCTTATGATCAGAGGATTAAGGAATATAATTGACGGGAGTTATTGCAATGTGTTACTTATTCTGTTTTTATTAGCAGTGTATAAAATGTCATTATGGGCACTTATTTACTTTTAATTTTGCAAGATATAATGGAGTCTTTAAATATTTATTGTTTCATTTAAAGGCTTGGGTTATACCTTACCCATGAAGCCTGGAGGACAAACACAAGCGTAGTCTGCAACCAGGTCTAAGCACGTCGAATTGTTTTTACAGAAGCCGTAGGAGCAGTCATCAAAGTTGATTTCACAGTTCAGGCCTTCAAATCCTTGGTTGAGGAGAAAGAGAGAGGGGGGGCAGTATATTCTTTATCTACACCTGTGTTTCCTTTCTCAGTCCTCTCTTTTGTAAATAATAAATCAATCCTTATCAAATTACTCTGTAAAACAGAAATAATTCTCTTTTTATGGCTCACAGTGAATGCTTCTAAAAGCTGCCTTGCTCCTCATCTGTCATTAGTAAATTATCCCCCTTTGTCCTTAAAGAAGGATCACATTTAAAGGAACAAGGGCAGCAAGCATAAAGCTGTGTCAGAGCACCACAACTTGTAAATACTTAGGAAGTGCTTTACGCAAATGGGTTTTCATGAACATGACACCAGGCTAGCCCTGCGTGCAAAATAATCACCCATATGGTTATCATTTCTGTTATGTACTGAGTTGAATAGGATCCAAAATGCAGCAGTCTGATTGGTCCTAGAACAATAGGCTCCAGAATGCAGCAGTCTGATTGGTCCACAGGAGCCACCCAATCCAGCTCCAGGTGGAAGTGAATCCGCAACCTGATTGGCCTACAAGAGAATCCCAGAATTAGCCAATCACGTGGGGCCCATTGTGTAAATAATGTATATAAAGCAGACATTCTGGGGGAACTTCCATTCCTCCTCCTCACTATGAGCTGAATAAAGAGCATGAAATCCACTCCTGACTCCGAGTATATTTCAATTTCTATAGCATATTTCTTGCTTAGATTTTTTCATTTTCACAACAACTCAGCGACCTGGGTTGCTAAAGCGTCTACTGTACAAAAAAAGAAGCTGAGTCTTGGAACATGCTCAGGAAATGAAGTGTTGCTTTAGTTTAAGAAAGACCTCAATAACCATTAACTGCTAGTCCTTCTGTTCCAGTGTGACAGGGAGAGAAATACAGGTACAGCCCTAAAGAGGCATAGTAATGACTTAACAGCATGTCCCAGGGTTGTGAGGATAAAAGAAAGAAGACCAGGCTCACTTCTTTTAATTGACTCAACACAAAATAGATGGTCATGGGAAGGCAGCACATGAACAAATCAGTCTATTGGGTCTGGGGGCTACCCTGGGCTGCCACCCTGTGTCTACATATTGCATTCAATAGCGTTCACTCCTAGTTAAGTGGGCCTAATCTATTAGCTGCATTTATACCATCTCCTAAAACAGAGGAGTTATCCTAGAGTCTCCCAAAGCATAACAAAACAGTTAAAACAGTAAATTAAAATCAAAACACGATTAATACACATTTTAAAACATTAAATGTATACTTCAGGTTATTGTTTTTTTGAGGAATATACAGACACTAAGAAGCAGCAAACCAAGGTAAAAGCAAAAGCACACACTTCTCTTCTTGCCTTCTCTCTCTCTCTCTCTCCCCTTTCTCCCCCCTCTCAAAAATAAGCTTAAAAGCTTGCTACTTCTTCAAGGCTGGCTAGCTTTTTTTTTTTTAGTAACATCTTTATTGAAAGTTCAAAAAGTACATAACTGTATGTGCACCAAACATGGTGAGACACAAACAAAAAAGAGAGAGAAAGAGAAACAAAACCCGTGCAAAAGGGAAAACAAAGGGGGGACACACCCAAAACTGTATACAGTGGTACCTCTGGTTACATACTTAATTCGTTCCGGAGGTCCATTCTTAACCTGAAACTGTTCTTAACCTGAAGCACCACTTTAGCTAATGGGGCCTTCCGCTGCTGCCGCGCCGCCAGAGCACGATTTCTGTTCTCATCCTGAAGCAAAGTTCTTAACCCGAGGTATTATTTCTGGGTTAGAGGAGTCTGTAACTTGAAGCGTATGTAACCCGAGGTAGCACTGTATTTTACAAGGTTGTTATTGTCCTTCACCAGATCTTAACCTATTACAGTATTTGTAAGAATGGCTGGCTACCTTGTTTGTTTCTTCCACAGAGTGTCCTGGGAAGGAAATTCCTCTCTGCAGATTCCAAAAGAATGTATGGTTCTGACTGGCTTGTGAACACCCTCACAAAAAAAACGCATGGTTCGGATTGGCTTAAGGTGGGCTGATTGACAGGTTGCATGACACACCCACACAGTTTCTTGCAGAGCAAAGGAGGGAGGGGAGGGGAAAGGACAAAAGAATCCACTGCCCTATCAAAGCCATTTCGGGGGGGGGGGGAGAGTTGATGCAGACCAGTGGTGAGGCCTACTAGTAGGGATTATTTTGATTGGCTAAGCCAGAGGAGACGGGCAGAAGCATCTACAAATCCTTTCAGTCGGTGGAAATGTATTAATAATGAATGTGGGAAATATTGTACAATGACGGTGCTAGATGCACCTCTGACGGTGAGGCAGTTCTGCAATTTAGGGGCCACCACAGGAAAAGCCCAACCCCCAGGCAACCATTCCTCACACTTTTCAATGGTAGCAAAACTACCAAGAGAGCCTGTATAAGTTCTGCAGCCTAATCTGCCAACAAAGTTTCACGCTCTGGTTTTCTTATTTCTCTACGGCTTGCTTTCATCTGAATGCTCGCCTTGCACCCGTGTTGCAGACAATCGTCACTCCCAGGTGTATAGGGTTTTTTTCTTGCTCTAAGAGCTGACAAAGAACTCTCCACTTTGGTATGTGACATTTTATGCTCTTGTAAATCTATTCTAATGCATGGTCACGCTACAAAATGACTATCATTAAGTGCTGTCACAGGCCATGGCTGCGGGAAGACCATGACTAATGCTAAGCTATCAGCACCCACAGTGCAAGGCATATTCTCATAATTTCTCAAAATGACCGTGGAACCAATTTCTACTGATCCCTAAGTCATAAAACTTTACAATTACCCTGAGTTCATTAATAATGTATACAGTAACAGATCTCACTCACATACAGACTTTAATCAGACCCATGTCTCTGTTCCTGATAACAACCAATCCACAAAAATTATTGCCGTGAATACCAAGTTTTATTTTTCCCAGAGTCCAGCGATGGAAGAGAACAACCCACTTGCGTTATCCTGTCTGAACTTCATCCTCAGATCACGCGCTTCCATTTTTGGACACAAATCTAAATGAAGTCTGGTGAAATTATCAGATATACAGTGGATGCTCGGGCTGTGAACGTGATCCATGCGGGAGGCATGTTCGCAACCTGCAGTGCTGCGTGGGTTGCGAATCGGCGCTTCTGCACATACGCAAAGCGCAATTTAGCGCTTCTGCGCATGTGCGACCACCAAAACCTGGAAGTAACCCATTCCGGTACTTCCGGGTTTCGGCACGTCCATAACCCAAAAAAACGCAACCTGAAGCATTTGTAATCCAAGGTATGGCTGTAATTTCATACGACAATAAGTGGAAATCATATTTTGCAATGCAACTTCCTGAGGTTTTTTGTTTTTGTTTTTTAATTTAAAATCCTGCATATGTGGAGCATGACTGCCTTCCCCACAGTGACACAGCATTCACACATAGAAAGAACCCTATAGGGCAGAGTGGAGTCTGCCCTATAGACTGCCCTATGGTGCACCGGGAGGCAGAGTGAGCTCAGCACCCACACACTTGGACTGAGCAGATGGTGGAAGACCGGATGAGGATGTGCCCGGGCCATTCCCATTCATAAGTGCTGCCCTCAGTCATTACCTGGGAGAGCATCTCCATAGGGCTCAATGGAGCCTCTTTCAATTCCATTTCCTGGTCCTTCAGAAGGGGCAGGGTGGGTGGATATGTGCTCCTGGCTAAAGAAGAAGAATTGGCCCATGCCCTTGAGGAAGGGGACTGGACTCCACTATGCCCTATAGGGTTCTTTCTATGTGTGGGTGCTGTGCCAGTGTAGGGAAGAGATTCATGCCCCCCACATTTTAAAATGAGAGTATGAAATATCCTGGGATGTTGCATATGGCTAAGGATTGGCAATGTATGGTGGAGTTGGAACAGGACAGTTGGAGAGTAAAATGAGGCTGCGGTGGGTCTGGATAAATTGTTTACCTTCAAAGTTAAGGAGGGCGGAAGTGGTTTGACAGCTTCTTCATTGTTCCAAGAAATTAAGATATTTAATATTCCTTCTCCACCCCAAGCTTCACATTGCAGTAACACTGCAGTTTCCAAAAATGAAACTGTGCCCTTAACTCTCAGCCCCAGTGATAAGACATGCTCATGCTTGATTAAAACAGGTATTAATTGACTAAAGGCACAGTGACAAATCAGCTACAGTGTGTGTCCCTAATTTTATAACCAATAGGAAAAATAAAGAAATAATATACTCTTGAGTGAAAAGGAAATGCTTTGTGCTTAGTGCTGTGCTGAAAATGTATCACCGCTTCCTAAATCTTAGTTTACTATTTGTATTACTCAGGTTCTTATACCCTATGGGGACATATTTTTAGGAAACAGGCTGGTATTGCAGACCAGTTCACTGGCCTTTGAGGGGGTTTTTTGTGGATTTTTTTTTTTTTTACTAGTGTTGTTGTAACATAGTTAAGAATCACAGGCAACGTGTCAGACATACATTCACACTTTTAGATATAACTATTTGCAACCTTCATGTGAATAGGCTGCCTTGATGGACATAGATGCAAATGAAACTTCGGGACTGAACAACTTATTTTGATAGGAAGGATGTTTTGAATGCTTTGAAGATCATCACGAAGACAACCTTGCAATCTTCGGGCGATCTTGGCAAATTGTCACTTATAATAAAAATGCATTGTGTCGAACAACTTACCTTCAGGGCAAAAACAGCCATACCCGTCAACATCATCCAGACAGACAGCACCATTCAAGCAAGGCCCTGAGTCACATGGCTTGGCTTCCTTTTCACAGAAAAGCCCTGAAAAACCTGCAAAAAAAATACATTTAAAAACATTGGATTCCCGCCCGCCCCATTTAAACATACATAGTTCTTAACTTTACATATTTTCAACTAGCACTCATACTTTACTTATTTTCAACTATCAAAAATCATTGACAGGAGTAGACAGGGCAGGATATTGTGTTGATGCCAGCAACTACATTTTGCTGTTGCGAAAATGCACGACTCCCAAGATGAACTACAGAACTATGTTTTATGAAGCTGGTGATGACACATATCTTGCAAACAAACAAAACTGCATTAGTTCAGTAGTTCTCCAAATCCTCGTATTCGGGGCATAGTCCTCACTCTTAGATTTCTTTTAGAGGTATACTTTACTCTTATGTGACTTAATAGTATTTATTTTTTTAACAGCTCACTGAACAACTGAGAAGGCATATTTCTTGCAACCATGGGGGAGTCCTGTGTTCCCACCCACCTCTCATTGCCCAGTCAGGGCTCAAGGATAAGGGATTATTACCGTAAGCATGGCTGCTGTTTCTAGGAATAGTCTACAAGTGTCAGTTATAGTGAGGGCTGCACCAAGGAATCTCTAGTGTGTGCTACATCCTTGGGATGATGCTACATATTGGCAGAGAGAGAAAGGGATCCTTGCTTTATCAGAACGCAGCCAACTAACAATGGCTGGCTTAATTATTATAACTTTATAAATGTAAGGAAATCATCATCATCAAAACCACCACTGGGTTAGCTTGAAGCTTGTGGGAGTTGAAGCCTAAAACTCTGCATGGTTTAGCAGGGATTCTCTGGGCTGCACATGGCGTCATTCCTGGGGTTTAAGGCCTAATGAAAAGAGTGGGAAGCAATGAATTCTTCATCAGCTCAGATTTTAATTCAAGACGGAGAAGAATTTGGGACTTGCAATATTTGCCTGTTTAAGATGAGCACTGAGATCCCCTGAAACTTTTATCCAGGCACAAGCAAGTACCCTTACACTGTACACTGGCACCCTTACTCATTTTCATGGAACACTGGGAGAGTCAGGGCTATGTTGTGTCTTACCAGCTCCTTTTTGCTGGCTATTTCCGATTATCTAAGGGATCAGAAATCCTTTGGATCAGAGAAAATTAACTTCTTTTCCATGCAAACACAAGAATCAGGCCCGGCTCACTTATCCCTCTGTTTAGGGAAGTTTTTAATGTTTAATGCTGTATTGTGTTTTAATATTCGGTTGGGAGCCACTCAGAGTGGCTGGGGAAACCCAGCCAGATGGGTGGGGTATAAATAATAAATTCTTCTTCTTGTTATTGTTGTTGTTAATAATAATAATGATGTAAATTGCTTCTGTAACATATTTCCATGGATACAGTACCAAGTTAATGGATCCACTATTTGTCTTTTACAGGAATTGCCCAAAATAGGCAATTTAGGATTCCAATATTCTCAAACACTTTGTGCTATGCATGTTTTATGTCAAGAGCTACAGTTTGGTCACATAAATTCTTTGAGCTGATCCAGCCGATGCTGTAAAACCCAGAGACTAGTTTGTTCTCAAAATGAGAATGAGATCATGTTTTCTAACAGGCTTCTCTAACAGCACAAATATCATATTAAGGTTTCTTATCTGTGTGTCTGATTGCATTGCACAACTGTGGTTGATTATCTGATTGAGTGGCTGTCTAGATAAATCCCATCTGAGTCATATGGTTGATGAATAGAGCTTCCGACCCTCCTGTTTTTTTTTTTTTGGGGGGGGGGAGGAATATGTTTTCTTCGTAGGATGTTATCTAACTTTAGTCATACTTAGATTATTGGTTTTAAGTACATTGATTTCAGTAGTCTAAGTGTGACTTAGTTGGATATACTCTGTAGCACTTTACCAAGTACTTTATAAGATCTCTTTTTAGAGATGAGAGGGGAAAAAGGAAGATTAACTTGTGGTGTGCCATGTTTCTCAAAGATGGGGCATTATTAATTAATATCTTGATGAGCACATTTTTTTTCACCCTCATTACACACTTCAAATTAACGAGGGGCAGTCACATGGGTTTAAAATTCAATCCCAGTTTAATATAGCAAAAATTTAATTGGGGAAATATGTAGAGCAGATTCCCATTCAAAGAAATGAGAATGTGGAAATTGTTCAAAGTCCTGCTTGGTGTGCAGCACCAATGTTATAAACCCCAAATTCTCAGATAAATGTACTGCATAAAAAGCCTTCAGTCTACAGCATACTTCACATGACTGTTAATCTAGCCCAACCCAAAAGGTTGCCATCAGAAGTAGAACAGAGAAAAGAAGTGA